GGTTTATTTGGATTCTGCATAGCATAGCTAAAAACTTACTGAAGAGCACTTTCTGGCAATGTATTGGGAAAAAAAAAACAAAAAACAAAACAAACAACAACAAAAAAAACAACAACAAAAAAACAAACAAACAGAAAAAAACCAACGAAAACAAACAACCCACAACAAAAAAACCCCTCAACATATGATGTGAATGCTTTACTATAATGTTTCTTTGAACTTACTCCCAGAGAAATATGTTTTGTTTAGACATGATTTCTACAATAATTGTAAGAAAAACATGACCATTAAAAATATTTCAAATTGTGATTCTTCTATGGTTGAAATAATACAAGGATACTATGTATTGTTTACATCAGTAAAGTACTAAATAACTATACAAATAAATATAAAATCTACAATATATAAAAATACAAATACACCTACAAAGCATGTATATTTACCAAAGTACAATAAAAATTAAATGTACAAAAGTAGCGTGTTATAACATTTGAAATATCCCTTAAACAGTCTGTGAAGCTAGAGGAAGGCCAAAAAAAAATGGAGGAATGTTCAGGGACAAAATTTATAAACAACAACTGCACAAGTCAAGTATTTACAGGCACTGGGATGATGTCTTCTGTCTGTGTTCAACTTTTGATCCTGTCTAATCTTGCAACACTAATTACGTAAAAATTAGCACCTTGTGGATAAAGGTTCTTTTGAGGAGCAATTTGTTTTGCAGGAAGAGAAAAATGGATTAATTGGTGGTGTTTTTCCTCATGAGTCACAATTAAAACATTTCCCAAATGGTGGAGGATTGCTGTCTTTCATCATAGGTTACTTGGTATGAGCTGTCTCACTTGGCATCTTATAGCCAATGTAAACATACCAAAATCGTATGCCAGGGACATAATAGCTAGGTGGCTACTTCCAAAGCTTGAGCATTTAAGGTTATTTAAAGTTATTTATAAAAGAAGACTTTTACGAAGTTTTTTGTTGTTCTTTATGTATAGTCCATAAGCTTTTCTTCCCGTTCTGACTCGTCTAGTTATATATGCCAGATACATAAAGAACTTGATAAGTGGGAAGAAAGAAACTCATTGTGCACAGAAAATGTATGGCATACAGGCACCTTTCAAACTCTGTTTGAGGCTTGATTTACATGCCTCGTACTTTAGAGGAGGGGAATTGTCTTCCACAAGGAATGTAATTTTTAAAGTGAATTGGTGTGAGAGATAAGTTTCTTCTAATTATTGTAGCTTTGTTTCAGTCTTGAGTAGTTTTTAAGATGATTTGTATTTTCTTTCAGAAAACTGAAATGTGGGAGAGCGAGAAGACTGAGGAAGATATGGAAGAGTATATCTGGGAAAATAGCTGCTCTCAGAAAAATGCCTTGGATACGCTGCTTCGAATAAAAGCCTCAGAGAATGTCAGTAATGTAACTAAGGAAGAGCTTCTTGCATCTGAAGTGGTTAAGAATTACAGAAACTCTGTAATTGCACTGAAAAATGAAGGTGAAACAGAAAATAACGTATCTCAGTATAAGGAATCTGTGAAGAAACTATTAAATATACAAGCATTATCATGAAAGCAGGCTCTGCAGGTACACCTGATTGTTACGGAGGTGTTAAACTACTATGTTAATATTTCTATATGAGATGGATATACAATTATTCAGAACCTTAACCAAAAACATGGAACTTGATGATGAATTAATTTCAGTAGTAATCAGATTTTTCTTTACTGCTGGATTTTCTTGTAAACATAATTTTCCTGTCCGTGAATCTTGTCTTTGAATAAAGTATGTTTTGAATGTTGGTGACTTGAGCATTCTATTCTGTGCTTTTTTAGCTTGGGAGACTCTGGTGCAGTTCTCTGCTTAATCACAACTTCTTTTGGCATATAACTCAGAGCAACAAATTTTTATTCATCAGACTTAAGGATTTTGCATACCTATAGAACAATCTAGCATATGGTCCTTCCAGGAACTCATTGAGAGGAAACAGCATAAGAATAAGGACATTGAAAACTGAAGGTCATTGATTTCTGCAGAGTGTTCTGTGTGCCTCCAGTCACTCACTGCTAGGATTTCTCATTGTGTGTTTTGTGTTTACATACAGTCAAAGGGCGTGTGTATTCCAGTTTCCAAAACATTGTCCATTTTGGAAGGATTCTTCCTGGGTAGATATTGTTTTCGTATGGCAGGAGACAGTTTAATGCAGCTTCATCCTCCCTGTGAGAATTTGCCAGAGCTGTAGCTAAGATTGAAAATGATTGTCCTGTAATGCCATTTTTGCACTTACCAACTTGGTTATTTAGTGGTCCTTCCTTTTAGATTTGTATAAATGTGAAGTTTTAGCAGAAGCTTGATAGGGGGAAAGTTTTAGCTGTAATCAGGTTGTTCCTTTATTCAGAGATAATGAGGGTGATGTTTAAAACTCTCATTTGAAACAGTACATCCGTGTAATTCCTGATCTTTTTTTGAACGGCATGAGATGAAAATTACTGAGGAAGTAACTGCAGTTTGACTCAGGGAATGGTATGGATGGTGGAGTTGTGCCTGGTTTTATTCCAAAGCTGGTTTGATTCTAGTGTGTACACAAGAGAAACTTGTTTCCTTAATTAGCTCTGTCAGTGTTTGCATAAGGACTGGCATACCAGCAAGCGTATGTAACTAACTTCTGTTTTGCAGTGGCATGTCTTCTACTAGACTATCACAAGTAATGTCCTTAAATGTTTTAAGAAACTCAAAACCTCATAAGATTGCTTTCCTCCATAAAGTTGTTCTTATGTGCTCAGAATATACCAAGCACCTGATAAAATCTTCTCTGCAGCAAAGGACAAATCAATTTTCCTTTGCCCTTCATAGGCTTGAAATGGAGCGAAGCAGAACTCTGTATGAAAGTTGTAGTTAAAATAACAGTTTGACTTCACTAATAATAATTGCTGGTAGAACAGTACAGCAAGTGAAATGATTTTTCGTTTGATGGTATTAGCATTTCATTAGCTTCACAGCTAATTCATGGAAAACCTAAAATGCACAGGTTACTAGACTTCCTGC